ATTTTTTGGAAAGGGTCAGGAACTTTTTTGAACGCAAAAAGTTGCTTTTTTTGTTCTATAGACTTAAATGGAAATGCTGCAGAAAAATATTTATTGTATTTTTGCCACGTTTTTGATGCGTTTTGTGTTTTAAATCTGCCTAGCAATAAGAAAAATAAATGGAAAAAAAACCTTGCAAAACGTATCAAAAACACAAGTGCAAAAATGCAACACAAAACGTAATGCAGAAATGGCTCAAATACAACCTGCATAGGTGTGAACCTAGACTTAAAGTAGAACTATGGGCTTCCAATTTAAAAATATATATATACTGCAGCACTTACTATAAGTTACAGTTTTCTCTCAGTTCCCCTGCAAAGTCCCACCAAAACCAGCTGATCCTGCCAGTAAAGTCCACCTAATGCAGCTGTTTTTGATGGTGTGGCCAGCGCTCCTAAATTCAGACCAAGAATTGCCACTCTCATGTAAGCTGTGCTTGCTTGCGCTATGGGATGAAGAAAATGTTGTAGGAAGTGTAGCTATGAAAGCTACGGTCTAAAGCTTGTCTTTCAGCGCCTGTCCATACTTATTGTTCCCCACTGCTCTCTGGATTGATAGCACTGCCTCTCTTACTGAATCCCTGTCACTATGAGCTGCAGTGTCTGGGAGGAGAAGCATGTAAAACATAAATGAAGGAGGATTTAATCCCTGTCACTATGAGCTGCAGTGTCTGGGAGGAGAAGCATGTAAAACATAAATGAAGGAGGATTTGACTCATTAAACATCACATAGTATTTGTTTGGACGTTCAGGCATGAGCCCTTAGATGTAGTGTAAAGCAAGCCATCCCTGACCTCTCTAGCTGCATGTACTGTAAAGTATTTAATCTATAAAGATCTTCGATTCTCACAGCAAAAACTGGAAAGTGGGTGGTTTTCTGCTTTGATAGAAAGAAGTTTATATTTCAGTGCCTCTGTTCTGAATTTTGAAGATTAATTTTCTTCACAGTGTGTATAGCTAATTAGATAAATAAGGGATTCTTTTAAAGTGCTTTACTGCATATTCAGTATATGTAATTTGCCTGCTTAAAGCATATTTAAACCAGCATAAATGGTATGCAGGTCACCAGACAATGGATATAGTGGTTTCACTAGTTTTCTTTTTTCCTTTATTTTAACCTAGTGACGCTGCCAATAACATACTGTCAGGGAATGCCTGAACGATTAATTTAGTCAGCTAAATTGATCGAATCACAGTGCCTCCAATAGCCATTATAACTTATAAAATAATTTAACTTAATTATTTTGAGTTCATTTTGCCAAGCAAAATTCTTTGGAACACAAACAAGTTCAGTGTAAGTCCAGACTGCAGATTATCAAAAATAAATGAATATGTATTACAATAAGTCAATTACAAACACCAATAATAGTTTAATTACTATGCAAACACAGACACTACAGTTTTGCAACGAGGTTTGAACATTAACTGTTTACCATAAAATAATACTGATGAGACAACAATGATTTTCCCCTTCTGTAGGTATCCTAACCAACTGGATAAAATTTGGCAGATAACCTGCATTGGACAAACTTGACCCATGATCTCACTGCAGTCGAATCACCGGGTGAAGTTTGTCTATCGTTATGTCAAATAAGGTAATTAAAATTATCAAATTTTCGGGTGTTATGATATTGGGTGGGATAGTAGATCAACTAGCATAAATACTTGCATACAAACAAAATCAAAAATAAAATGTGAAAAATACAGTTACTCTTTCAACCACTTGACTACTGGTCCACTTTTATCCCCTTCATGCCCAGGCCAATTTTTAGCTTTCAGCTCTCCCACACTTTGAATGACAATTGCACGGTCATGCAACATTATACCCATATGAAATTTTTATAATTTTTTTCACACAAATAGAGCTTTCTTTTGGTGATATTTAATCGCCACGTGGTGTTTTATTTTTTGCACTATAAACAAAAAAAGAGCAAAAAATTTAAAAAGAAAGTTTTTCTTTGCTTCTATTATAAAATTTTGCAAACAGGTAATTTTTCTCTTTCACTGATGTGCGTTGATGAGACTGCACTAATAGGTAGCACTGATGGGCACTGATAGGGTGAACTGATGAGGTGGCACTGGTGGGCATTGATGATGAGGCACTGATATGCAGCAATGATGGGCACTGATAGTTGGCACTGATGGGCAACGCTGACTGGAGGCACTGACTGATATCACTGACTAGTGGCACTACTGGACACTGGTGGGTGGCACTGCTAGGCACTGGCGGGCGCAACTACTGGGCGGCACTGATGAGTGCCACTGATGGGCACTGGTGGGTGGCACTGTTGGGCAGCACTGCTGGGCACTGATCATCAGGGCAGTGATCATCAGTGCCAATCTTCTCTGTGACAATTGCCGGTTATCAGCAGTACTTTCCTCATGCTGTCACAGCGTGAGGAAAGTGCTGCCAATAACCGGCAACTGTATTTACTCAGTGATCTGCTCTATCATTGGACACAGCTGATCATGTGGTAAAAGGTCTCTGTGATTGGCCTTTTACCTCATCACGTGATCAGCTCTGTCCGTAGGACACAGCGATCATGGAGATTGGCAGGTGCGCGCTGCTGGAGGCGCGCAGGAGGGCGCGTTCTGGGAGGACGTCATATGACGCCCTCCCAGAAGTGAACAACCACGCTGTAGCCATCATTTGGGTATAGCACAGTTGGCAAGTAGTTAAAATGGCTATTTTCTTTAAAATGGTCGGTGCCAGACTCTCCTAAGATGGCTGCAGATTACTGATTGTATATTGCCTTCCCAAAATAGCATCTAGCTATGTTGGAGCTGTGGGCCCGATGATGTGATAACGTGTCAGATCTAGATGAGGTTATCCTTCAGATGTTGTGTGTGTCATCCAGATGAGGTGATTCAGATGATGTGTTGATGATCCCTTAAGTGTACCTGACTTCTATTTTTGTATTGTAACAGCAGTATAGTAATAAAACATGTCAGGGGGTGGCCCAGAAGGTGTAACCTTATTCCTAGTGGTGGATTTATCTATCAAACCCATGTTTACTCAAGCATTATCTTCCTTGGCCACTGGGTGGCATCCTCAGATAAGAAAGGACTATTCTGTGTTTAATTGGAAACTCCATGATATAAAAAATTTGTACACAGCTATAATTATGTTAGTTTCTCTGAAATATGTGGAATGCCTGGGAGAGTCTGGGCAGCAGCAATTAAATGGGAAATTTGAAGATAGAATTTCATATGTAGCAAATAAAATAATAGTTATACACATACAGAGCAATGAAGAAAGGACATAATTTGTATACTGAACTACTTATTGATTATACATGCTACTTATTGATTATAGATAGATACTAGAAAAGCTACAATTTCTGTGGAAATTGTGTGTAGTGTTCTTGCCTCCACTAGTAGTCTACAACTGGAGTGGGCGGAGTAACTGGGTGGAGTGGCTTGAGTAACTGTTGTGTGGATGGAGTGGCTGGCGTAACTGTGAAAAGGTCAATAGGCAGTGTGAGTTGCAAACAAATGGTCATATTGTGAAAACTATCAGGACTATGGCTTAGCCGTGGACATTTTTAGTGGCAGCAGGGATAGCTGAACGTTTTGATATAAGATTTGTGTAGGTGGGCTTGAAAATGAGGGAGTGGTGGCAGCTTAGAAATCATGTCCTGATTTTTCAGCTCATACTCTAGCTTTTGTCACTCTGCTGCCTGCTCACACACCTGGGTTCCTATGGCAACTCACTCTACAGCAAGGGCAGAGGAGTGGTTAAAAACAAACTGCTCCAACTTGCTCACTTCACTGGCGGTTGCCATCTTCAAACGGTGGTAGTTTAAAAATTATAAATCCTACACTGAAGAGCTTTATATTGTGAGAATCACAAGACCCAGAACTACATTTTGATGCATAGTATGTCTCTAAAATATTAAAAATGAAGGCACAGTAGCAGTTTAGAAATTGCCCTTCAAATTTGAGGTGGCTAGAGTGCAGTTTCAATGAATGTCAATGGGCGGCGTGAGTTGCAAACAAATGGTTATATTGTGAAAACTATCAGGACTATGGCTTAGCCATGGACATTTTTACATTTTGATATAATATTTGTGTAGGTGGGCTTGAAAATGAGGGAGTGATGGCAGTTTAGAAATCATGTCCTGATTTTTCAGCTACCACTCTAGCTTTTGTCAGCTCCCACTCTAGTTTTGAACATTCCGCCATTCATTCCTATGGGACCAATTTCACCACAAAAACGCTGATATTTCGTGAACCATTCTGCGAAACGTTCCACAAAGTAATAGCACACCAATCGGGAACAATCCGCACATTTCGGTATATTACTGTCTATGTAGTGTAAAAACTGTGGGAGGAGTTATGGTGGTAAATTTGGCTATAATAATAAGAATATATATGTGAGATAACAGTAAGTGGTCTTGCCATGCAAGAACACTTAATAATACACATACACTATATTGCCAAAAGTATTGGGACACCTGCCTTTACATGCACATGAACTTTAATGACATCCCAGTCTTAGTCTGTAGGGTTCAATATTGAGTTGACCCACCCTTTGTAGCTATAACAGCTTCTACTCTTCTGGGAAGGTTGTCCACAAAGTTTAGGAATGTGTCTGTGGGAATGTTTGACCATTCTTCCAGAAGTGCATTTGTGCGGTCAGGCACTGATCTTGGGCGAGAAGGCCTGGCTCGCAGTCTCTGCTCTAATTCAAACCAAAGGTGTTCTACCGGGTTGAGGTCAGGACTCAGTCAAGTTTCTCCACTCCAAACTCACTCATCCATGTCTTTATGGACCTTGCTTTGTGCACTGGTGCGCAGTTGTGTTGGAACAGGAAGGGGCCATCCCCAAACTATTCCCACAAAGTTGGGAGCATGAAATTGTCCAAAAGGTCTTGGTATGATGACGCCTTAAGAGTTCCCTTCACTGGAACTAAGGGGCCAAAAAAAACAACCCCACACCATAATCCCCCACCACCAAACTTTACACTTGGCACAATGCAGTCAGTCAAGTATCCTTCTCCTGGCAACCACCTAACCCAGACACGCCCATCAGATTGCCAGACAGAGAAGCATGATTCGTCACTCCAGAGAACACATCTCCACTGCTCTAGAGTCCAATGTGCTTGACACCACTGTATCTGAAACATTGCATTGCACTTGGTGATGTAAGGTTTGGATGCAGCTGCTAAGCCATTGAAACCCATTCCATGAAGCTCTCTACGCACTGTTGTGCTAATCTGAAGGCCACACAAAGTTTGGAGGTCTTTAGCTATTAACTCTGCAGACAGTTGGTGAATTCTGTGCACTGTACGCTTCAGCATGAGCTGACCCCGCTCTGTCATTTTACATGGCCTACCACTTTGTGGCTGAATTGCTGTTGTTCCTAGTTGCTTCCACTTTATTATAATACCACTAACAGTTGACCGTAGAGTATTTTGTAGTAAGGACATTTCATGGATGGACTTATTGCACAGGTGGCAACCTATCACGATACCACGTTTGAATTCACTGAGCTGAGAGCGACCCATTCTTTCACAAATGTTTTTAGAAGCAGTCTGTATGCATAGGTGCTTGATTTTATACATCTGTGGCCATGGAGGTTTTTGGAACACCTGAATCCAATGATTTGGAGGGGTGTCCCAATACTTTTGGCAATAGAGTGTATGCTTCTAACAATGGGGTTTACACGTGAACAACCCATTTTAAAGTGGTAGTAAAGCCATTTTGTAAATTTTTACCTACAGGTAAGCTTATAATAAAGCTTACCTGTAGGTAAAATTAATATCTCCTAAATGTGCACCATATAGGAAATATTCGGCATGCACTCTGAAGAAACTGCATACCTTTACCGTTCCTTCAGAGCACTGTGCAGTGTCCCGAGACTCCTGTGTGCATGCGCAGGAGTAACATCATCGCAGGTCAGCCAGTCAGATGGCCGGAGCTCGCAAACCCAGATGGAAGACCAGGTGAAGGTAGAACGTGACAACGTGCCGCTGGAGGGCATCGTTTTATGGTAAGTTTTACAGAATGTGCTACAATGTGATGCATACTAGCACATTATGCCTTTACCTTGCAGGGGATTTTTTTTTTTTGTATACAGTTTACTACTGCTTTAATATTCAGAAATCCTTTTTCCGGCAATGGGATATTGTGTCAGGATAAAATCTTTTTATGTCCAATCAACATGGATACCTTGCAACATTGTGTTATTTAAAACATGTACATATATTCAGTGTGTATGTATATATATATACTACACAGTGTCATAAAGGCTTTACCTTATGACTTGCAATGTAGATTCAATGAACTGACTTGCATTATATAAATGCTTTGAGCTACTGAGATGGTTACAAACAGTTCATTTCTGTGAGAGGTGTCTTGTCCTGTGTTTGTCTTTCTCAAAGCTGAGACAGTGGTGAGTCACTGAATAACCAGTCTGTTAATTGGCTGTGTTCTCAAATCTACCTGGTCACACATTTGAGGTGTTTTCACATTTCACATTTATGGAACCTGGAAATCCTTGTAAATATTGGTCAGTTTGTCTTTGGTTCCAGATGTTGTTGTGGGTATACCAGAAACCAGTTGTTCATTGTCCTTTGACTTGTTTGTAATCTGGTTAACTGTTAATAGTACAATGTGTTTGGCCTGGTAAGTAAACTAGTCCAAAAATTAGAAATGATAAAATATGTATATTTCTTTCCATAACAATAATGAAAAGACTTCCTGTCCTAGAGTGACACTCACCCTATTTTATCTACTGGGTGGTGGAGTAGCACTGTTACAGTATAACAGGAAGTGTTTTAGAACTGCAAAACAACCCCAATCTCTCTTCTTCTCCATATTATTGAGGGAGGCTTTCTGTAGTTCACAGCGAGTCCTGGGTACAATATAACTGATTAGAATGCAGCACATACAGAGAGTATATGAACCTATAAGCTCACAAGATTTCTGGCAGAATCAACAAGTTTAAAGTTTGTGTGTATTAGATCTGAATTATATGAGCACATTCAAAAGATGACAAAAAATAAGAATTCACTAATATAAAATTAAAATGTTATGTTTATGTTGGGTGAACAGAAAATGCAACAGCCAGCATGTTGATGAAGTAACTAGCATTCAGCAGAGGGTATAAACTTTTTCATTGCAGAGCTATAGGTCTGATTCAACAGAGGGCATATTGTACCTCTGTAGAAAAGCCACTGCTTACATGTAGGGAGCATGGGTCCTTCTGCAAAGCCCTAGGATTTTGCACACCTTTTCCTTTAATGCATCTGAATGTCAGATTGAAAAATTATTTAGGTATGACTGTAGAATGTTTTAAAAAAAAAAAATAATGCTTTTCAGGGAAAAGTTTGTGACAGCAAAATTCAAAACACCTTCAGATAAATGTTGTCAACATTTATGCCAAGTTGTTTTTGCTCCATTGTTTTAAGCATATAATTGGTACTACAGTACCTCACAGAAGCCACTTTTGCTTTGTAAAAATTAATCTTGAAAATTGAAATTGAGAATGAGAAATTAAAGTTTGTTTGGGGCTCTTGACAAAAATAAATATTTGTCATGATAAAGTAAACAATATAGCAAAAGTCATCCATAAAGAGGACGTTTAAACTTTAATATGTAGTCCCTATAGCAATGAATAAAGTGCAAAGCAGATATGCAGCAACAAGTTAAAGTGCACAATTCTCCATAAAAAATGCAACAATATGAGTCACCAAACAGGCTGTTTTTTTGGCATGGAGTTCAGCCTGTGGAACACTCGCCAGCTCAGGTAGTAACAGCGGCGGAGCTTGATGGTTCACATCTATGCTATGCGGTTATTCCCGTACCTGAAGCAGAACTTTTAAGTGTGAGTGTATTTCCACTTGTATCCTTTGCACTTTTAATAAAATATACTGCACCATGGGAGAAATCTCTTTTTTATGAGTGTGTGTATTGTCATACTACATGGTCCAAAAAAAAGAAGACCCTGGTGATGTCCACCTCCTTAATTTTTTTTGTTTACATGATATGTATGCTGTTACACAGTTAATATTTATGTTAATGTACATGAGAATTCATATAATTTATTCTTTGTACCATTTCCTATGGATGTTTCTATAGTTAGTTATATGCTGCCATCCAGTGGCCTTATTTGTTTTTCATGTTGCCTCCCTGTGATCTATGACACAGTTCCTTTGTATATGAAGCTCCTCCCTTCTTCTTGAGTTCAGCACTTCCTGTGTCAAGGAGGCAGCTAACAGACCACATGTAACAGGGACACATGTATTCTGCATAGTACGCTACAGAAAGTATCATCTTTTGACCGCATAATACTGGAAACCATTCATTCTGCTGTATCCTGTTTCACATGTACAGAATAAAGCAACTTCTGGATGAACACAGTATTGGTGAGTTCAAGCTATCTGATAAGGATTGTCCACAGTGATTATATCTGCTTATACAGGCTAGGCAGAGAGGTCTCACAAGGGATAAATCGCTATCACAACAATCTGAGTCAGAATAATATGCATGAATAGATGGAAATGGTAAGCCTTTAATCTTACCGCATGTGGTGGTGAATTGGCATCGTGTGATTTTTACATAGGTGTTGGGTACACAGCTGAGTGTAGGTCCACGGTAAACTATTAAATGGACTATAACTGTTTGAACACTATGAAATATATGATTTATGTTGATTTAATTTTTAAAGGCAATCAATATGCTGTATGTTTATACACATACATTTTATTTGAATTGTATTGAGCACTATTATTTTAACACAAGTGGGAACAGCTCCTTTTTTATTTGAGGGATCCTTGTTTTGCATACCTACATTCACTTGTTCCAATGTTGGCTGCATGTCATTGCTCTGGACCATCTTCTGGATTAAGAAAGCCTACGTAATTGTGTCAACACAGCTGCATGTATTCTCAAGCAGGAATGCATATAGCAGGTTGACAGCACAATTGGGAGACAGTTGTCACCTCATTATAGGAAGTGCCAGAACAAGTGCCTTCATGGGAAGATCACCAGTTATTCTTTTAAAGAAAGCTGCAGATTTAAAACAAACGTGAGCAACTTTTGAAGTGAAATTAGCATATTATTATTAACAAGTGTATATAAAATTGTAGTAATTGCAATTAGATCTACTTTGTCTTTTTTCGCATTTGTGTTATTTCATCTTCATGTAAATTTGCCTTTTTCAGAATAGATGAATGTGATCTATCACCCTACACCTTCCCCACCCCCTGATGTGTACTTACCTCTGTGGGTGATCTGCTGTCAGTGCCCATGCAGCTGAAGTCCCTACTCTTTGCCCACATACTTCTGCAGGGCTTCTGGTACAGATCAGAGCGATTCTCATTGGTCAGCTCTGGTACACCTTTATTTCCCTGTTTTACTTTAACCACTTCCAGTGCAGCTTACATATATACACCCAGTTCCAAATTATTATGCAAATTCTATTTAAGTGTCACAAAGATTAAATAGTTTGTTTTTCAGTTTAACTCATGGATGGCATTGTGTCTCAGGGCTCTTTTGATCACTGAAAACAATCTCGGACACCTGTGATAATTAGGCAGGTGAGCCCAATTTAAGGAAAAACTACTAAAGGAGGGTGTTCCACATTATTAAGCAGAGCACCATTTTCAAGCAATATGGGGAAGAAAAAGGATCTCTCTGCTGCTGAAAAGAGTGAAATAGTTCAATGCCTTGGACGAGGTATGAAAAAATTAGATATTTCACAAAAACTTAAGTGTGATCATTGCACTATTAAGAGATTTGTGGCTGATTCAGAGCACAGACGGGTTCGTGCGGATAAAGGCACATCAAGGAAGATTTCTGCCAGATCCATGCATCGGATCAAGAGAGAAGCTGCTAAAATACCATTACATAGCAGCAAACAGATATTTGAAGCTGCTGGTGCCTCTGGAGTCCACGAACATCAAGGTGTAGAGTCCTCCAGAGTCTTGCAACTGTGCATAAACCTTCTATTCGGCCACCACTAACTAATGCTCACAAGCAGAAATGGCTGCATTGGGCAGAAAAATACATGAAGAAGACTAATTTTCAAACAGTCCTGTTCACTGATGAGTGCCGTGCAACCCTGGATGGTCCAGATGGATGGAATAGTGGAGGTTGGTGGATGGCCACCCTGTTCCAACAAGGCTGCGACGGAGTCATGTTTTGGGCCGGAATCATGGGAACAGAGCTGGTCGGCCCCTTTAGGGTCCCCGAAGGTGTAATGATGACCTCTGCAAAGTATGTAGAGTTTATGACTGACCACTTTCTTCCCTGGTACAGAAGGACGAACTGTGCATTTCGTAATAAAATCATCTTCATGCATGACAATGCACCATCTCATGCTGCAAAAAATACCTCTGCATCAATGGCTGCTATGGGGATAAAAGGAGAGAAAGTCATGGTGTGGCCTCCATCCTCCCCTGACCTCAATCATATTGAGAACCTTTGGAGCATCCTCAAGCAAAAGATCTATGAGGGTGGGAGGCAGTTTACATCCAAACAGCAGCTCTGGGAGGCTATTCTGACATCTTGCAAACAAATTCAAGCAGAAACTGTCCAAAAA